GATTTGAACCATAACTGCAAACTGCATTTATATCTTTGTTGCATCTTGCTTAATCAAAAGTTAAAAGTGATTTACGAATTGGCTTTCTTACTGAAATCACTTTTATCGAACGAACGTAGTTTTTTTTTAATCGTAGAAGGTTTTCCGATGCACTAATTCACTCCCCCCTCTTAGTGCTCTTGATCCTAACAAAAAGTTTTAGGAGAAAATATTGGTACATGAATCTGGGACACTGTTATATGTCCAACTAAAGGAAGAAGTTATTGGACAAAATCAGAGCATGAATATGGAGAATGGAGTAAGTTAAAGGAAGATTTTGCTGTCAGTCCACTCTAGTATTCATCCTTTCCAACATGTGGTGACTGTCAATACCTTCACAAAATATATACATGAATCTCTTGCTTTCTGGGGAAACTTCTAAATTGATTCAAGATATGCTGATTATTTCCGAGGAAACTTCTATTCTATAAGCAAGTTTCAAAGATACAGTTGTGTGCATAAGTACTCTGTAAACAACAAAGGATGGTCTTCAACTCATTGGGAAGTAGGATCTCAGAGCTTTTACATCTCCTAAAGGAAGGTTAGACTTATTTTTCTTCATATGTTTTCTCATTTTAAGAGTTTTTGTTTTCTTCTGTTTGTGTCATTAGTAAGATTTATTGGAAAGCGTGTTATTTTTAATGTTTTGGGTATTTACTGTGCATGTCCGGGAAGCCAAAGTGGATTGGGTCTCTTTCACCACTGCGTGAGTTTCAACAAATAGAAAAAGGAAAAAAATATTAAAATGGTTAGCTTCTAATGATGGGAATCAATTCAACTTTCGATTTCTTTGTTGTTGAATTTGTTCTCTTCATTTGTGTTATCTCTCTCTCTCTCTCTCTCTCTCTTTTGTAAAATTGACAATTCCTCTGCACACAAATCTTTGCTTGAACATATTCTCAAGGGGGAAATCTTTGCCTTTCCTTCTTTACGCCAGCTAGCTCTCAGGCGGACAGAAGAAGCAAATCTGTTAAACGACAGTTTCGTACATTACGTTGCTTTGTGTCTGTCTTCCACAAAGCTTTACCAGAGAGTTGCTGATGTTGATTTGCGGCTGTTGTTTGTTTTAGGGAGTACCATTCTCTGCTTGTCCTAAAAGGAAAAAAATGGAAGCTGAAGGAGAGGGCTGTTGGAACTGGGAGAAGAACAAGGCTTTTGAGATAACTCTTGCAGCTTACACCAAGGACCATATCAATCCATGGGAGAAGATTGCAGCTGCTGTGCCTGGAACAAAACTGGAGGAGATCAAACATCACCACAAGCTCTTATCGAACGATGTCAACAGCATCGAATCTGGCGTGTTGCCATTGCCCAATTATACTATCAACTCAAAGGATCTAGCCAATGATGATGGTAAAAGAGGAATGAGGTTAGAAGGGTATCAAAAGCGCAGCAAGGGGCAAGCCTGGACAGTGGACGAGCACAGGTATATAATATATATAAACATATACTACCTTGCTTTCTTATGGTGGATTCTTGATTAATGTGAAGAGGAATTAAGTTGGTCATAATTAGGAACATGCTAATTTCTCGCAATAATGAAATCAGTTGTTTGTTTCTAGCTGAACAAACCTGGCCACCGAAATTCTTTAATTATTACATCATCATCATCATCATCATCATCATCATCATCATCATCATCATCATCATCATCTAATGGTGTTTGAGACTGGAAATTGGTGGATTTTGATGCTTGGATTCATTTTTATGGCCTCATAATGGCACATCAATTTGAATGCTCGGATTCATCAATACTGTGGCAGACTGCAGAGTGGTGCATCTAATTTTTTTTTATCAGTCAATCGAAAGCATATTCATTCCTGTTACGATCCTAATTATCTTATGAAGTATTTGGGTGGTCATGCCCGTGTGACAAATGGTGGGACGAGCATGAATTAAATAAATAAAACCATAATCCAAAATCGCCGTAGACCGAAAGAGATTAAGAGAGAACATAAAAGAGTTTCATCGAGAAAGAAAAGATCGTGAATGAATGATTTGATGATTGTTCTTGATACCATGTGTTTGTCGACCATTGAGAAGCCTCTTCCTATTCTATTTTCTGTCATCAGTATTACTGAGATCTACTCTTTCTCTCTCTCTCTCCTTCCTTTGTTGTGGAAACAAATTGATTATTTTCAGAGCCAAAAGTTATTCTTAGCAATATTTAATGTCCCTTGGTTGATGTAGAGAAGACAATATGCAAATAAATGATTATGATTAGTGTAAGAATCTTAAATGGCTTTCCTTGAATACTAAATAATTTTGCATATAAATTTATTGTGTTATGGACCTTACGGGTTTGTGCCCTTTATCTCATTATTTTTTATTGCTTTCTTGATTGGCCGACAGTTAAAGTTTGCTGCAACTTGATGTTTTGGTTTTGATTATCATGAATGATTTAGGAAAGAGAAAAAAGTTTGATGTTTATTGCTTTCACATGTTCAAATATCTTTTCCCAACAAATGTCGCCAATTTGTTCAGCCTTCAGTTTTGCATAGTCTCTCTTTCTTATTCCTTTTTGTTGCCATTTGGTCGTCAATCATCTAAAGCAAGCATCGTCAATCATGATATGTCATCTCTGATGGCACAGGCTATTTCTTCGTGGACTCGACAAGTACGGCAGGGGAGACTGGCGAAACATATCGAGGAACTGCGTGTTGACTCGGACGCCGACGCAGGTGGCAAGCCATGCGCAGAAGTACTTCCTCCGACAGAGCTCAGTGAGCACAAGGACGCGGACGAGCATTCTTGACATCAGCAGTGCGGACAGCGAGGAGGATCTACCTGTGTCCATCACTTACGCACTAGGCACACCTGCTGATCCTGCTGCTGCAGCAGCAGATCAACAAGCGTCCATTAGCGGAATGGGAGTCTCCGTTTCAGAATCTCAAGTCTTTGCTGCCTCCAACATTGAATTTTATTTTTAAAACATGTATATTTTTTAATTTTTTTTTGTGATTATATATGAAAAGATATGTTGTTTTTTTTTGGGGACGAATGTCCCTTCACCTTTGAGGCATTTATAAACTCTATAAATAGAGTCCTAACTCGATTACTTTGGTTTACTATTCGGTTCGGGATCATTCTTCCACCATCGTATTTATAGGAGGAACGATATTGATTAAATTTTATGGTAAAAATCTTGAATCAATCTCGCACGTAGGGATAAAATTTCGCCTTAACAACCATTACGCGTCTATGAATGCTTTCTAAATTTTATTTTTTATTATATTATTTTAATATTTTTAATTTTTTTAAAATTAAGATCCAAATATCCTGTGTTTTGCCCTAACAATTTAAAATGAAATCTTATTGGATTTTGATTAAAAAAATTAAATGAGATTCAATATGATTAAACTTGAATTGTTATCCTGCTTTTCCTTTAGTTACTAATAATACATCTATAGGTTTTCTGAAATTTCTATAATCGTTTTGCATGAAAATAAAATTTTGGGCACATATTATTCGTAACAGAGCATGTAACTATTGTGGCACATGAATGTGTGACATTCCATATTACTATCATGCCTAAACATGATCAGTAACACAATTTGTAATGTAGTTTTATCATCATAGATGTAGTTTCTAAAATTTATCAGTTAGTTGTTTTGTATCCTATTTCATCAATAATTTTGTTTATCGAAAATTATTTTTCATAAGTTTTCATATTTGTTTGTTAACCTCTTAATTGCGTTGAGTGTATCTATTATATATGAATATTAAACATATGCTTTTCTTTGCTACGAAACATTACTTTTCATCTTCTTTAAAAAATAATATTTATTTATAATATTCTATTTCCAGTTTCACACATGCTGTACACGTATGATTAAAATAGAAAGTCACTATACCCTTTTACTTATGTATCAATAAGTGAACAAAGTAGACCAATTTAAAGCATGCCAACTTAAGTATCAATAAGTGAACAAAGTAGACCAATTTAAAGCATGCCAATTTGCTAAATAAAACGATATGATTTTCTATCATAGTGAACACGTATGATATGCTTCTCCTCCGATCGGAAAGGGCAGCGCCTCTAGCGTTATGCTCATCGGCGCTGTTTCTCCTCCTCTTACGGTATTCCCTACCCTAGATCTCGTTCTACTTCAGCGAAAAGTAGGGATCGAGATGAGTGGTGGACGTGTGTGGAGCGACGACCACGGAGCCGCTCTCCCTAACTCTGAAGCTGGCCATCGGATGCATCTTGACGCTGTCGATCTCCCACATTGCTCACCGATCTGTAGCGTAACAAAGCTGCCCCTTCTCAGTCCTTTAGTAAGCTACCTTCCCCTATTTTAAATTGCTGCTCCTTTGCCGATGGCTCCTCTCCCTCAGACTCCGGCCACCAAACTTGACTGCAAGCTGTGATCTTCACCGATTGTAGCCTGCGTCTCCTATTGCGGATTGCTGCCTCATTGTCATTGCCATAATATGTCCTCGTTATATACATCTAACGCTCTAGTTACTGTTCTTGTAGGAAACCACGGTATTTTTCCTCTACCGGCCTTATTTCCATCGATACTGCAACTCTCATTCCTTTCAAGTTATCCAAAGAGGATAATTACGACGTATCCTGGCATGTTCAATTTTTTAATCTTCTATTTGGCTATGATATATTAGGTTACGTCGATGGTTCTCTTTGTTGTCTACCAGCGATGCTCAACGTCCCAAGAGCACCCAACCTAGTACCAAATCCAGACTACAAACTATGGTTATGCTAAGATCGTCTCATCCTTCAGGCAATTCAAACTTCCGTCGCGGGATCCCTTGCCCCACTCATATCTTCATGTGACATTGCTACCAAAGCCTAGTGCAAGCTGCAAACCACATTGGCAAATTATTCGCATACTCGCCTGCTTAGTCTCCTATCTAGTCTCATACAAGCAAAACAAGAGGGAAGTACTATTATTGACTATCTACAAAATATGAAAGTTATCATTGATAACTTGGCCCTGATAGATCATAATCTTAGTTATGAAGAAGTCATTATCCACACACTTAATGGTCTCAGGGATGAGTATAAGGAACTGGCAACAGTGATACAAGCACACGACTCACGTCATTTGAAGAACTCTATGATAAGTTGACTGACTATGAGATATATCTCAAGCGTGAAGACAAATTATCAGGTCCATCTATCATAGCTTAAGTCAGTCAAAAATCACAGAAGAAGGGCAACTGGTACAATAAAACCATTAACAAAGATTTGGCTAGCATGTCTCATGAATTTGTGGGCTCTAACTAAACCTCCCCCCATCCACCTTATCAGCATTTTCATCGCAACCATCAAGGCGACTACTACTATTATCCTCAGTCCTAGCGTCCTAATTATACCTTTCCATTTCAAAACCCCAAGTCTCCTACTGTGTGACATACTCCATCACATATACATCACTAGAGTACGCCATCAATCTCGTCAACCGAGTCTCCTATAGTACCATCTAGTCATTCTCCTTAGGATCTACACTCTCTCCTTTTCCCTGCTCAATAGCTCCTCACTCCCTCCATTACGTCTCTTCATTCTTCACAAGGTTCCCCTACGACTGAAGGCATGCCCTCGGAAACACAACCACTACATTTATCCTCACCTAGGACCAATGACACTGAACTCCCTCAGCCTACCCTAATCCATGTTAGTGCCTCTTCACCGCCCATACCTACAACACACCCCATAGCCCCTAGACATCCAATGACAATACGCTCCAAAAGTGGTGTTTTTAAACCATGACAAGTCCTTGACCTACATGTTGGAAAATCTTGGGGGCGACATCACATGCGCAGCGGAAGAATAAGAAAAACAAAATCTCCTATTCCCAAAGAGATGTTCGTTGTCGTGCAAAGATTGGTGCGTAAAATCCGCGAAACTTAAAACTGTATATAGAGTAGATTGTGTTACCTAGGGAGATCGTATATCCCTGTTTCTTTGCAAATCTTTAGGAGATGGTGAAGGAGGTCAAGCGTCCTCCTCTCTAGCGGTGATCCACACAGCAGGATTGTGACGATGCTCCTCAAAACTCCAGGCCTGCTCTAAGGTGGAGAGGGGGAGGAGAATAGGAGAGGCAAGCAAAGGCTCTAGCCTATGAGGCTTGAATCCCTCCTATTTATAGAGGCTCTCTGTCAAAAACCTAATGGATCCTCCCCTATGTTAGGATCGGAGCGGCACTAAGAGGGGGGGGTGAATTAGTGCAGCGGATTAAAACTTGTAAGTTCAAAAATGATTCCGTAAAATGCAAGGAGATTTCACTTTGATTGTAACTTGAGTAAATAAAAAAAACGGAAATGATTGCAGAAAGGTAAGTACTCACAGATTCAATGAACACACCAATTTAAAGTGGTTCGGTCAAATGACCTACATCCACTTGCGAAGCCTTCTTCAATGAGGCTCCCAACTTCCACTAGCAAATCACTTTGAAAGGGAAGGACTAATACCCCTCTTACAACCTTTACAAGTGGTTCACACTCTTACAATTTTTTCAACAAGAAGGAAGGAGGTGAACACTCAAGCAATTTGAAAACAAGACTTGCTAAGACTTTGCTATGGCTCTTATCTCAAACTATTGCTTTGCAAAAGTTGTTATCTCAGTTGAGAATTGAGGGTTATTTATAGGCCCCAAGATGATTCAAATTTGGGTTCCAAATTTTGAATTATCTTGGGTTTCTGAGGCTGGCGGTGCCACCGCCTGTCAGTATCTGACACTAACAGTGTACTGGCGGTGCCACCGCCCAGTCCGACGGTGCCACCGTCGGACCTCTCGGGTGCTGGGCGGTGCCACCGCTCAGTCCAGCGGTGCCATTGCTCAGTCTAGCGGTGCCACCGCTCAGTTCTCGGGTTCTGGGCGGTGCCACCGCCTACACCATTTCAGCTCATTGGTTGGGCTCCAAACTTGGCCCAAACTAGTCCGAACTCGGGCCCAATTGGCCCATACTTGGGTTATAGGATTAACACCTAATCCCAATCCTAATTAACGTGCTAACTATGAATTTAAAGACATTTCCTAAGCTATTACAAAGTCCGTAAGTCAAGACTTCTTCCGGTGAGCTTCCGGCGAACTTCCGACGGTCTTCCGATAAACTCTCGGAAACCATTCTACGGACTCCCGGCAGGCTCCTAGACTTCACGATTTGATCTTGGCGAGTTCCGATGAGCTTCTTTGGTAAGCTACAATCTTTCTCGGTGAGATCCGCGAACTTCTGACGTACCTTCCGGCGAGCTTCCGAAAACCCTTCGGCAAGCTCCCTACTCATTTTCGGCTAGTTCCAGCAACATTCCCGACGAATCTTCGGACTCTCAAACGTCCATCGGACTTGACTCCGGTATCCTTGCTTTATGTTTTCAGGCTATCGTAGTTAATCCTGCACACTTAACTTCAATAATATGGATTAGATCAATTAACCCATCAATTGATTTCATCATCAAAATCCGAGATTCAATAATCTCCCCCTTTTTTATGATGGCAATCAATTAATGACGGAGTTAAAAATAACTCCCCCTATCTATATGCCATATTATGAGAAGATAAAAATACTTGAATTCCATCCCTTTGAATTCAAGCATAAACCGATAAGTTCTAACGGTTGAACTTATTGTTATTCTCATTAAGCATGAGCAAATACAAAACTTCGTATTTCAGCTATGAAAATCATTTTTAAGTCGAATGATAAGGGACAATTTTCACTACGACGAGAGATAAAAATTTTCAACATGAATTTCATGATATAAATGTGAGGCATGATTTCATATGATCAACCAATCTAAGAACTTGCGATATACTCAAAGATTTTGCAAGGCATATAAGACATTTGTATTACACAAGCTTTTGAAATTCATGTAAGTCATGCTATCGATGCACATAAGACATTTTCATTAAGTCATGCTAAGTCATGCTATCGATGCACATAAGACATTTTCATTAAGTCATGCTATCGA